TAATTTTTTAATTTATATAATATATATTTCATTTAATAATTTAATAAAAAAATGAAACTAAACTAATAATACTCATCAATTTAGTATACCAAACATAAACCAGTGAGCAAAATAAAGAATAGTCAAAACTAAAAACGCTTCATCTAATCTTAATAGGTAATATATATTTTGTCGCTTTTACTGATGATGTTATAGTATATCCAGCATTTCTATACCATGGTAGAAAGAGAAACAATGAAGCTAAATACCTCTGCATTAATAATTTATGAGAGTACACCTCAAATGTTTTTAATAATTATTGTTCTAAATATGGTATTAGATATGAGAAGACAGTTCCTAGAACCCCACAACACAATAGGGTAGCAAAGAGATCAACCATACTAATACTAAGAAAATATGATGTATGTTGAAGATGATTACTTTACCAAAATCTTTTTGGGGAGAAGCAATAGCATCTTTTGCTACTTGATGAATAGTTCTCCCTCAGCTCCTTTAGATTCAAATATTTCAAAAAGGGCATTGTTGGGTGTGAACTTGTTGGTTGCTTAAAATATTCTTATGAAGGACGTTCCCTTACTTCAGTTCATCAAGAGAAAACACATTCGTTTTCTTGACTTCAACCCAAGTGCGCAAGTGCACGCATCAAGTAATAAATGAGATTATTAGTGCTCAGATTATTGTTCCTATGAGGATAGTACTCTAAGTAATGCCTTAAACTATTTCAAAAAAAATGAAAATGAAAAGAAAAATTAGTAATTGATCTGTTTGGTCAAACGTTTCCTACTATCTTGACAATGTTCCTCAAGAATAGTAAGTTCAATCTGACAGCAAACAGCTCCTCGCGTCGTTATGTATAAATCCTTCCATAATCAATATTTACGTATACAAGGTTCTCCAATAATACAATTACTTTACATCAACTATCAAATTTGACCATTACATAATCAACATAATATCAAATGACTTAGACACAAAAGCATGAACAACTCTAAGCATGTCACAACATCTCATCCAAGACCAATGTCCATGCACTAAGTCAATGATACAAAATAAGCATCTACCATGTGCATCAAATTAATATCTGAAAATGTCAAGTAATCATCATGCATTCCTATGTACATGTCAAAATACTCCATATGTTCGTATTCGCAGTCTTCTTGCCTAGTGCTCCTCCAGCAGCACTAGTGGTACCTGACAATAATGCCCCATAACGCGGGGTGAGATTTGACAATCTCAGTAAATCACAGGTCGTGGAGGGTCACTCCATGCAATGACTCACTCAAATGTGCAAACAGTAATAATATCCATATAGTACATCATACCATCAGACAATCAATCAATCAGATAATCAATAACCAACTGGGCACAAATCCAAGAACATCCATCAGGGATATTGTTCAAGAACACCATCATATATTTCCCAAAACATTCCTAGAGTGTTAACAACTCTAAGGCCAACGCCAACCGGAACCCCCACAAAGAGTCTTATCTGGCGAAAGTTCCCCCAATTTCTATTGATTAGAGAACAAACAATCAGGCTTCACGGCAATCAGGTCGCACGAGCAATCAGGCTCAATAAGCAATCAGGCTTCACAGACAACAAGCATATTTCACACAACATATTATATTAATGAACATACTTTATTAAACATTATCATAGGTCACAAATTCCAACCATCACAAAGGACATGGTGGAGGACACAATCGACTAACCTTTGGACACATAGAAGTTTTCCTGTAAAAAGCTCCTCAAACTCAATCCTCTACAATCGGATCCGAGGAAGATAACCTACAATGATCATACACATAATATGATCATTCATATGCTTGAGAATACACAAGCAAACACAAACAACAACCCCCACATAAACACATTAACTCACGGTTCTAAGGCTATCAAATGCCTCAATGTGTCATTAATTCTTTCTAACCAATTCCATCACTTCAATGACCTTAACAACCAAATCACCAACACATTCACACACCTTCCATCAAGCCACAACACAATTCACATCATTTTCCCTCAAAATTTCCAATATGGCCAAATGTGTTCATCAATAGAATCAAAGGATTTTTCAACCAATTCACATCCTTAAAACTCTTTCTAAACTTCATAATTAATGATTCAAACAACCACCAATCAATTACATCATCCATCAAAGACTTCCTCCACAAATCATCATTCTTTCATCCTTGAAAATTTGTTTAAGTGTTGGCACCAAAATCACTTAAACTCTTATTGGATTTCTATCAATTATTTATCCATACGAACAATAAATTCCAAAGGAACATAGCCATAAAACCTCTCTAACCATGCTCACCAACATACACATCATATTATGTCCAAAATTTTGATCCACAGAAAATACTGAGTGAAATTGAGAAATCTTACCACCAATGAATTCGTAGGCTTCGAGAGATCAATATACAAGCTTCCAAGCAACAAAACCACCAATAATGGCTAATCTCACCTCACAAAACCGCCACCTTCAAACTCACAGATCTCCTCACACACTCAATTTCTCAAGAAATTCTTTTATGACTTTGATCACCAAGAGATTCCGGGTATTTTTTCATGTTGTAACTTTCTTGATTCAGTGTCAAATTAAAAGTTGCAAACTCAAGCTCTTCTCCAATGGTAGGTTCGACCATCACACTAAAGAGGAGGAAGAAGGCAAGCTAGGCCAATTCAAAGACCAATTATAAATAGCCACTTTTTTTGACTTTTTCAAAAAGGTTTTTAAAATATCTAAATTCAATTTACTTAATTAATCTTCTTGAAATCTTACTTAATTTCAAGACTTAGGTATTTTCATAAATTCAAGAAGCATAATTATAGTTTAATAATGTCACAATACAATGTTAAAAAGATTCGGGCAATTTTTGCCTAATTTCACTTTTGCCCCTATTCACAAACTAACTATTTTTTCTTAAAATATCAAAATTCCTCAAATAATTAAAATAATTATTTCTCTTCGTTCTAAACACTTCTTTCAACATATATTCATTCTTAGAATATTCATATGATTTTTAAGTCTCTCTGTAAAATTATAATCTGGTATTTCATTCGCTAAAAATCAATATTCTAGAAAAGTGCCTATTCACTTTCAAATTCTGTTCTGAATCTAAATCCAACATTATTTTCACCAAATAATGTCTAATTATATCATTTCATAATTTTAGAGTTCGGTAATTATTAAATTATCATTTTTCCTTTCGAATCCATTTTCTCCTTAAAATCAGGATTTTCACCAAATAATAATGCATTTTCAATTTTGTGAGGTGTTATACTCTATGAAGCACCGACACTTCAAAAACTCTGACGTGTCGTATCCGACACTTTTTGACACTCTCGGACACTCCGACACTCCAACACACGTTCTAGAAATTCAAAAAAAAGGTTCAAAGGTTAAGTTGCGTTGAGTTTTTAGTTCCAACTATTAGATTCGTTGGATTACGATTACCATTTTATTGATTTTAATATAAATATTTGAGATATCTTATGTTTCTTTGCAAAATTTATGAATATTATAAGTCTAGATACATTTTTTTATTAAATTATTGAATATTAAATATAATATATACTACATAAATTAAAAAAATTATTTAATATCAAAACGTGTCCTAACGTGTTGAAATTTAACATTTTTTAGAATTAACGTGTCGAAGTGTCGTGTCGTATCGTGTCACCTGTTCCGTGTCACTATCGGTGCTTCATAGGTTATACTCTTAGGGTTATAGATACATTGGGTTGCGGCATAATCACCTTTCATGAACTAATAATCATCAATAACCCGCGTTTGAAAATGGAAAATTGACTTGGTCAATTGACTTTACAAGAAAATCTTGTTGAATGGTTAATTAAATCGCACAAAGCAAACAAGAGAGGCAATTAATTAAGATAGTGTCTATCAAAGTTTTATTTATTTATTCATTGGAAGAGGAAGACATAGAAGAAACTAGTTTTGCTTTCTTCTAATATAAATTAAATCATAATTTTTTGTCTGTTTAGTTTTTTCAATATTAAAAAAAAGCATTTTTGACTTCTACAATATGCATTAGATAATCTTCAACTACCATACAGTTGAAATAAAATAAGTACAAAAGAAATATTTAGTTCACATTTCGAGTAATGACACGAGTTAAAGAATAAGTGAGGAACATAAGACATAGTAGACATAAACAGACAAGCTAATGGTTGGCATTTGATTACAACTTTAGTATTAATTTTAAGACGAGCTAATTAGACGACTTGTAGAATATTTTTATATTAACTTCAAGACTTCAAGTTTGTTAATTATCAAGATGAGCAGATTAGAAAAGGCTAATGATAGGAATTTGACTCGAGGCCTAAACCAGATATAAGTTTCACAAGTATTAGTTAAGTTTTGAAATTAGTAGAGAACATTTGGGCTACTTTTAAAAGATCATTAACAATATTTGTTTAATTTAAGTTAATTTTAATTACAAGAAACATGGATATAAATATAGATAGATAAACAGGATAGAAATAAATAATTTAGCCACCATAACAATTGATCAATTAACTCCTTAAATATAGTACCAATCGCCGTTGCACTTCATAGATAACTCGTTTATGGCGCATCAGTACATACGCATATGTACCACTATCTTTAATGAACTTAAAAATTTTCTTCAATAATATAATGGTTATTTTCATAATTATCCCAACATTAATTTTGTACGAGACTTCAATTTAATTGTTAGTTTCATGGACATTGCGAAAAGCTTGTCTAACAACCACTTCTCTTTTCAGAAAGGATAGTTTCCACAACGATGACGCGGTTTGAATCGATTGAGCTAAGCAGTTTCCTATAACTAAAAATAAACATTAATTTTTTTTTTTCTTAAGACTGGTTCTACGAAACCATAGTTTACCCTTCAAATCAAACTCTTCGTCAAGACATGTTTTATTCCACAACAACAAAAATGCCTATAAATACCAAATGCACAAATACTTCTCCAAGCACTTGTCCAACTCCTTTAACCATAAACCACTCTCACACCCCTTTTCTCCAAGCACTAGCACTTCTTCTAACTCATTATCAAGATTTTCTCTTAAACAACATTATGGTGAAGGTAAGGAATCTTCTTTAACTCAGCCATATAGTTTTTTATATATATATATGGTAAATTACAAACTAATACGTTCTCTTTAACTCCACCATGTATATATATATATATATATATATATATATATATATATATATATATATATATATATATATATATATATATATATATATATATATATAAAGCTCTGTGTCACATAATAGTGATAAAAGATTTATTACATAGTTTCATTTGAAAGATTAGAAAAATCTAGTAAAATATTGTTCTTCTCATCAAATAATGTTATCTATGGTTCTGAAATGTTTGCAGCAAAAGGTGGTGATAAAAGTGTCTATGAATGGCTCCAAGTCCAGGTCAAAAGCTATGAAGATTGCAGTTGGAGTTTCAGGTAAGAAAAGTTACAGGGAATTATTAATTCTCACCCTTTTTTATTCATGAAGTTCAAAATCATAGCTTAAAAAAAATATATGCTCTTTGCAAAATCTTCAGGAGTGGAAACTGCAGCTATTCAAGGGGAAAACAAAGATCAAATAGCGGTAACTGGAGAAGGGATTGATTCAGTTTGTCTGACATCACTTCTAAGAAAGAGTTTTTGCCATGCAGAACTTGTGAGTGTTGGCCCTGTGGCTGTGGAAGAGAAGAAAAAAGAGGGAATTACACTACCAATAGTGTGGCCTTATGTGAGTGGTGTTCCTCAGTGCCCAGTCTATGAGATAAGGCACCCATCTCAATATCAGGACCCTTCTTGTTCCATCATGTGATCAAGAGAGTTTTCAAAGGAAGAATGATACCAAGAAAACATACATTGATTAGGCTTTTTAATTTATGTAGCATTGTTGCAACCAAATCCTTCTGCTGTCTGCAACATGTTGGACCTCGTTTCATCGATAAGCATAAGACAAAATGTTAACAAATCATTAAAAAAAACAACAACAAAAAATGCTACAAGAATTATATATTGTAGAAAGAAAAAAGAAAAAGAGAGAGTGAAAGTAGAAGAGATAAACCAGTTATATTTTGAGCATGTATGGTGTGATATGGGAGAGGGTTTCAATGATTTTATTCAATATTTTATATTTGTTGGATGTAACAAATAAAGTTAAACGCAAATTTTGAAACCTGATCAGGGTTACGGGTTATGTTGAATTTGTGGTCTCAATTGTTAAGGTTTGATGCAGAAATAAAATTTATGTAAACAGAGGAATACAGAGTGGGAAAAGAAAGAGAGTTAATTTTTTAATGTATGACTGCACTTACATGTGCTATGGTACAGAAATCAGGTTTGACTGTTTTGAGAGTTTTATTCATGTTGGATGTAACAAAGAGTTTCATAATGAAGCTTCTCACAAATGATTGCAAAATGTCCATGTTCTTATTGGCCTCTGTCTAAGATCATTCTGAATCACAAAAGTTCATCGAATACACGTGTGTTTCTAGTGGTGTCTTAGGTTCGATTCTGAGGTTTTCTTTTTTTGTTAGGCGATATATAATATGCCATCTTAAATTCTTATTGAATCTTCATTGCAGTTGATGATTTTTTCTGACTTTTAAATTAAAAGAAGATACTATGGTTCTAGCCGGGATGACTTATCTTTGATTGGATTGAAGAAATTGATTAGTCCGTACACGAACAAACTGACTTAATCCCACATGACGGTCATTTAGAAAAGAAAATTGAAAACTATAATGATCTTTTCAGTAATGGAAAACCAACATTATTTAGAAATTAAAAAATTAACAGAGGAATGGTTCAAACATGGAAGATAGGAAACAAGATATTTCATTTGGTAGGACTAGGAGCCTCATTCTCTTTATCTTGTGGCTATTATTTAGCCATTGCAATTAAAATTCAAAGTCTAAGTAATGCAAAGGTAATATAGATATATAATTTTAAAAAATTCATATAGCTTACTTAATCTTGCAGCAATTTAATGTAGGAACGGTTCTTCATTCCATATTTCCATTAAACTAACACCGATTTATCATATTAAATATAGCAATTTATGATTGTGCTGAGAGTTTGACTTTGCCCATATAATATTGCTGCTGCTTCTAGATTATTGTTGTTTTGGACTTTTGCGAACACAACAGCAAAATTGAAATAAACTAAATAGCATTCGTTCCATGAGGATATTGAAATCATTTAGAAAGCATAAAGTAATAAATTGATAATTTGAAAATGAAAAATAAAATTATTTTATTTGGTTCAATTTATTTAGTTGTTGTAGCTCGTGTCATTGCTGGAGAGGTGAACTCGGTTTTTGTTTATTTATTTTACGTCGGCTGTCTGATTGATTGAAAAAGTATATAGTGTATATTGGAGATTTACAAATAGTTTCTCAATTGAAAAGATTAAAAGGACAAATTAATATTTTATTTTATTTTTGGATTACAAAAGGGAAACTCAGAAAGACAAATTAATTTTAATTTAAAAGAAAAGGAGATTTTTTTCTTCTTCATAAATCATTCCCATTACCCATGGATGTCAATTAATCCGGATACAAGTCGGACAGAATCTTAAGGAGAACTTTTAAAAAAATAAAATAAAATTGTGGCACATGATACCTTAGTCCTCCAGAGAATATAAACTTTATAGTTATTATTTTCATAAGTTTTAATACATCTGATCTTTTAATAGTCACATTTAGTTACATGCAAAAGTTAATTAGGGTAATTAGAAGAGTTTTCATTTGTTAAAGAAAAAATGAGGCGCGTGTTGGGACGCGCGCGATAATTCTCTTTCTGCTAGGGTTCTTGCTGAATTCTTTCGCTGGTGTTATGGAGGAATCGAAGGAGAGTTTCAATGATCCTTTGTCGATGGATAGGAAGAGTACGAAACGCACGAAGAGTGGAGATGAGATACCGATGGAAGCTCGTATGAGAGATGCTGTGAAGGAATTTCAATCTGGCAAAGTTGCGCTAGAGAAACAACGATCTTCTGCTGAGGTTACTGGGATGGAGAATGGAGTTTCGGGGGAAGCTATTCCCTGGTTGCAGGAGGAAGAAGCTGCTGATCTGGACCCGCTTGACCCGAATCAGGGGGAAATCTCTGAATGGGGGTTTCAGACGATTGTGCGTGAAGATGGTTCAGTGGAGATCCGTAGTAATGGTGAGGCTAGAGCGAGGATGAGGCAACGCTAGAAGAATGCACTGATTGTCAAGCTGTTGGGGAAGAGGATCGGTGTTGGATTCATGAAAAGAAGGCTGGAAGCACTTTGGGCAAAGGCAGGAAGCATTACTGTTGCTGACCTAGGAAATGAGTTTTTTTCGGTCAGATTCAGCAGCTTGGAGGATTTGAATCTGGCAATTACGGGAGGTCCATGGGTGATACTGGGTCACTACTTAGCAACGAGGAAGTGGGAGCCTTGTTTTGATCCGGACAAGGCGAACATACACAAGGTTGCTGCATGGGTGCGTCTTCCAGGTATTCCTCAGGAATATTGCGAATTTCCTTTCCTGAATCACTTAGGAACTGTAATTGGAAAAGTGTTAAAGGTTGATAGAACAATATCAACCGGGGATAGGGCTAGATTTGCTAGGGTTTGCATTGAGATTGATCTTGCTAAACCTTTAAAAGGTGAATACATATTGGATGGTTGTAGGAAGAGGATTGAATATGAAGGTCTGTTCTTAATCTGTTTAAAGTGTGGGCGTTATGGACATACTTCTGAGTCTTGTCCAGATTTTGTTGAGACTTCTCCCAAGGATGTACCTAGTGAGACTCCTCATCAGTCAAAGGATAAGCCTGGACTTCAAGGGGTTGGGGAATGGATGGTTGTTCAAAGGAAGAAGAAAGGCACTCAAGGTTCTCAGAAAAAGGAAGTTAAGAATTATAGGTTGTTTGGGGCAGACATTTCTAATTCTAAGCAGGAAGTGTGTGATCATATTGGAGGAAGTGGGGGAAGTGGTATTTTGAAGAATGTTTCTGGTAATATGCCAGAAGAGGAAATTGGTAATATTCTGGTGAATAAAGAAAATCTGCCTTCGGTTAGCAACCCCCCAATAATAGAGGGGGTGATGAAATTTTCAGCCAAGGCCTCTAACTCTAATAAGAAGAGTTCAGGGGTGAAACAAGGGGCTCCTATCCCTAGAAAGAATTCTTCTAAGACTATGTCAGCCAAAGGGAAATGGGTGCTAATCTCATCCTCTCCCATTCTGGTGGCTGAGAACAGCAGACCTTTTCAGACTCACATTCAGCAGTCCTCTTTTGCCGTTCTGGAATAGCTCAATGGAAAATTTTGGGGTAATTTAGTGATGGAGTCTGAACCTGATTCTGTAGTGACACAAGTGGATAATACTGGCTTTGGTCAGCAGGCTGGTCAGCTGAATATTGGGACTGGATTGCATACTTCTGATCCTCTTGATCTAGTGATGGGGGATGTGGTTAAGAGAATTGGAAGTCAAACTAATATGGAGATGGACCATGCTTCCAATATAGCTCTGGGCAGTACCCTGCATGGTGTGAGTGACGTAACATGTGTAGGAGGTGATGTTGAAATTCAGGAGGCTATTGATGTGAGTGGCAAGAACTCTGTAATCTTGCAGCAACTTCAGATTTCTCCATGAATGTGCCGACTTGGAACTGCAGGGGTGCTGTTAAGAAACAGTTCAAAAGTACCTTTAGCAGGTTTCGTAGGAAGTTTGGGGTTGGTGTGGCTGCCATCTTGGAGCCTAGAGTCAGTGGAAATAAAGCTCTGAATATTATTCGGAGTTTGGGATTTAATAATTCTATTATATCGGATGCCCATGGTTATTCTGGTGGTATTTGGGTGGTTTGGGATCCGGTTGATGTAAATATTACACTCATTAATAAACAGGAACAATTTATCCATGTTTGGGTTGAATTTCCTGGTAAGGAAGGCTTCTTCTGGACAGCTGTCTATGCTAGTACTCATGAGGAAAATAGGAAGCTGTTGTGGGAAGACCTGAAGCATATTGGGAGGACTATGAATGAACCTTGGATGCTATCAGGAGACTTTAATGAAATCAGATCTGCCACTGAGAAGAAATGAGGATGTCCTGCTGATCTTAGTAGATGCAAGAGGTTCAGTGATGTCCTGGATGCTTGTGGGGTCTTGGAATTGGGAGGTGGAGGCAATCGGTTTACTTGGAAAGGTCCTAAATTCAGTCATTTGGATAGAGTTTTTAAAAGGCTTGACAGAGCTGTGGCAAATGATGTGTGGAGAATCCGTTTTGAGGATGCTGAGGTTTTGAATCTTCCAAGGATCTTTTCTGATCACTGTCCTATTCTAGTTAGATTGGAAAAAGGAGAGTCTTGTTGGAGAGAGAGACCATTTAGATTCATGGTTGTATGGCAGAATGATCCAAGGTTCAGTGATTTACTCAAGTCTAATTGGGATTCTAGTTCCAAGTTATTGGACAGCTTGCACTCTTTCATTCCAGTGGTTAAGGACTGGAATAAAAATGTGTTCGGGTTCATTTTGTTCAAAAAGAATAGAGTGATTGCTAGGCTGGAAGGAGTTCAAAGACAGATGTGTTTGCATAATAGTCATCACCTGGAGGATTTGGAAGCTAAGTTAATCCAGGAATTAACTGAGATCCTAGATCAAGAGGAATTAATCTGGTATCAAAAATCAAGATGGGAGTGGATTAATGGGGGTGATAGAAATACCAGATTTTACCACACTAGGACCTTGATCCGAAGGAAGAGAAATAAAATTTTAAAGCTTCAGAACAGTGGTGGTGGTTGGGTTTCTGGAGAGGATGACTTAATTCTGCTAGCTAGGGATTTTTTCTTTAATTTATTCAAAGAAGATTTGCCTATAGCTGAATGGATCAATACTGTTTCTTCCTGGCCAGCACTCAGGGAGGAGGATAGACATCTTCTGTCTTTGGATATCTCTTCTGAGGAAGTTAGAAAGGCCTTTTTCCAGATGCCTCCATT